CCGAAGAGTGGAGAATCACATGGAAAAGAGCACGGAAAAAAGACACGGACACTGGACTTATATGGTTTTTACATCACCCACAAAGAGCATTTCTCATTTGTGTGTGTGTGGGGGGATGGGGGGTAGTAGGAATAAGGACATATTTTATACAGGAATTATTTAGGTATCATTTTCTCTTATTCCCTACTAAGAAGCAGTATGCCAAGGGGTTACGGAGGTAGGGTATACTGGGCTTTTCCAAGAACTTGGGTCCCTCTTGGTGAAATTTCAAAACAGGGATTTGGTTCTTTGCGGTGTATGTGGACTCGCTGCTTTTTGGTATACCTCCCATGTTGATTACTGTTCAGGGCTGAGGGAAACAGTAAGTATGTTGTGACAGCACAAGGAACCTACTACGGTTGGTGGACACTAGCAAAAACAGCCATTACTCCAGGATTTGTGGAGGATATGGTGTGATGCATGAAGGTGTCCATCTACCTTCCGAGAGGGAACAGAATGGCATATTCAAAGCAGGAAAGGCTAGCGCATTGCTGAGAAATACTCGCATGGCATCGGGCCTGACATGGAATTCGCAAGAAACAAACTATAGCTTGGGCTGTGAACACTGCGAGGATTTAGCAAGTAGCCTTAGAGTCCCCTAAAACTCCCATGACCATGCAAGTTATATAGAATCCTGTCTAGAAGGGGTTCTAATCTGTGGAGGGCCCTTGTTCAGATTCCATATTAGATTGGGGAATACTACAGCCTACATAATCACCTCCCACAAATAATACACCACCCTAAGCCCTAAGCCCTGCCACATCAAACACTTTCATACCTTGACGAAAGGAGTTGAAGTGCAAGCCTCGTTGGGGCTCGGAGGAAGCCACCTTGATGTCCATGCCGCTGGATTACAATTTTAGGGCTTAGGGTTAAGGATTTAGGGTGAAAGGGTGTAGGGTTACGGGGTCTAGGATTGAGGGTTTAGGTGAAAGGGTTTACGGCGAAAGGCTTTAGGATTGTGACGTGGGGATCGAAGACCAAAAGATTCGTTGTGAAATTAAACCGGATCACATTTACTTTTTCACGCCTTGTTAGACATGGGGAAAGGAGTATAACGACCGCACAACAGGCCCCCTCATTCCCAACTACGCATGAGTAGGCTCAAGAATTGTTCTGGTTTTCTGCAGCCATAGGAAGGGAAGGAGGATGATATTGTGAGCAGATTTACAGCGTCTTTTTGCCTTTAGCCTCCTCAGCTGTGGGGGGAATGGATGGTTCAGTTTTGTTGCGCAGAAGCTAGCTCTTAGAACCTTGAACTCCTGAATACCAAACCTCAAAGCACAACTGCCCAGAAGCCCGGAACCTCAAACACCAAACCCCAAATCCAAAATCTGTCCACATCCAGGCCCTAAACCCTGAACACCAAACCTAAAATCCGAAACTGCCCAGGATGCTGGTGCATGAGGACATCTACCGCTCGCCACTCCGATTTGCGCAGCAAGTGCGCATGGGAAATGGCCTCGAGGTTTCTGGCCTTCATTTGAGCTATAGTCTAAACTCTTTAAAGGGGATTGTATGGGGAGTGTTATAGGGGTTTTAAGAGGGATACTAGGAGTTTTGACTATGGCTCATGTGCTTGTCTAAAACTTGGGGTCTTTTTTTTTGTTCTCGGGGTTTCGTGTTTGAGTTTACGGTACCCATGATAAGGGCTGCAGTATATTGCATTTATGAAGCCTCTCGTCTCATACTTTAGGTAAGGTTCGTATCAAACGTAGGGGGCCAGGCTGGCGCTCTGAGTTCTTGTGTGTTGCTGGTGCATCTTGTGCGACTGCTACATTCAAGTCCTGAGCCTGACCAAAGAGTTGTTCCAAAGCTCTTGCGCGTACGCGAATGCACGGACCTTGTCAGCTTTGTGCAAACCCTGTTAGGGGTTTAGGTTTTAGGGTTTAGAGCCTGGCAGGCTTGGGGCAAGGCTATCACGCCAGAAGTCTGGTCAAACCAGATTGTCACAGCTAGGTACCCTCTGTGGCCGCGGTGTCTCGAATTGTACAGTCCCCACACTCCGAAGCCTAAGCCCTAAAGTCTACAGTAATTAGAAGCCAGAGAGCTGGAAGAATAGTAGGGTTTAGGGTTAGGGTTTAGGGTTTAGCGTGTAACATGGGGTTTAGGGCTTTGGGCCCAAGACCTAGGAAGAGGTACTAGTAGCACAAACCACCTTGTTTCCAGGTTCCATCTTCTGAGCTTCTACCGAAATCCTGACTTCGTCCCTCCGCCCTGAAACTAGGGTTGGGGGTTTAGGGTTTATAAAGCACCGTATAGTCTCGTACGTAGTTCCTGGTATAGAGAACGAGTGTTTTGCAATATACCTACCCAGTTCGGAAGTCTTCCGCTCAGTAAGTAGGCCTATTGCACCCCATAAGCCCCTGAGTGACCCCACTTCCTAAACTTATTTGATAAGTCTTTCCGAGCCTCCAAATCCACCTTCAAACAGTAAACCCCAACACCAAAAAACCAAAACCCTCAAACCCTCTCCTCTACCCTATCTGTTTTGGGGACCCTAAACCCTAAAACCTAAACCCCTAAACCCCTAACCCTGTTGGGACTCAGGTCTCAGACCTGAGACAAGCCAGGCGCAAAGGTCAAAACACCAGGAGCAGGGGATATCATTTTGCGCGTTTAGGGTTTAGGGTTTGGGGGGTTAGTAGTGGATAGACAGATATTTTGTTTTAGGGCTAGTAGGGGGTAAGGAAATATGCATGATATAGAGGTTCCACAGGAATTGTGTTCCCTTATTCCGACTAAGAACCAGCAGTAAGTCAAGAGGTTTAGGGTTAGGGGTTTAGTTTTTAGGTTTTTGGGAGGGGTTGCGGGTTTAGGGCATGGCATGTAGAGTTCAAGACTCGGGCCCCCCTGGCATGCCCGGACGATCTCCAGGTTTGGGCATCAGCTTATTGGTTCTTCGTAGTAGGGTCTTGGGTTGAGGGTTTAGATATTACGTAGGGATTATAGTATAGGGATCATGTTCACGTATTCCCTACTAAGAACCACTAAGTTAGGGTCTCAGTCGGGTTTTCCTGGAAGCTGGAGAGCACGGAAAAAAGTTACTTAAACCTGGATGTCGTCAAAGTTGTGCCGCAAACGCTTCCTAGGCCCGCAAAATACAGTGCCCGAAGAATTTCCTCTTCATCCGAATTTTTGCAAGGCACTGACGCTGGGTTGGCTCAAACTGACCGATCTGGCTTAACCCAGCCTAGGCCTCAACATCTTACTCTCCACTTTGCACAGTGGACCCTAAACCCTAAACCCCTAAACCCTAAACCCCAAACCCTAAACCCTAAACCCTTAAACCCAGCTGCAAAACCCTACAGCTCCAACCCTTCATCCCAAACCCTGGGGCCATGCATCGTACAGAACCCAACCCCCAAACCCTAAAACCCCATCAACCCTAAAAGCCCATTTACCCTATGAACCCCATACGCCCTGAACCTGTACCCCTGCACCAAACGGGTTGCTGTTGAGGAAGTGAGTTTAAGTACCATACTGTGCATATATGGTAAACAGTAGGGTTCCCCAATATAGTAATTTAGATTAAGTTCCGTAAATCCCTATGCTACCCCAGTTTCCATTTCATTGTCCACTTTCTTTTCCATTCTCCATTATAGGGGGATACTACAGTAGCTTAAATTAAGTTCCGTAGCAGCAACCTAAACCTTAAACCCTAAACCCTAAACCCTAAACCCTAAACCCTAAACAGCAAGCCAGCCAAGAAGCCCTGCAGGAGTTGGGACGGCTCAGGCTGGACAATCCTGGCCATCAACGGCCAAGCTGCCACGCGAGCGATGGTGGATGAGATCTTGCGCCTAGACTGTCCCGGGCCACCCTAAACCCTAAACCCCAAACCTAAGCCCTAAACCCTAAACTTGTTCTGGGTCCAAGTTTAGGGTTCGTGGGTTGTGGTTTGGAAGTTTGGGTTTGAAAGCCAAGGTTTCAGGATGTTTACTGGGGCTTTTGCTGCAGGAGGTAGGGTTTAGGGTTTACTGGTTTAGGGATTGAAGGCTGGGGTGTAGCAGTGTAGTACTTAGAGGAGCACCTGCAGTTACATCCAACTTCCAACCATCCTTAAAACACGTAGGGGACCTATAATTAGGTTCCAACCCCCAGTAGTAAGCAGGTTTTAAGGAGCAGGGTTCCAGGATTAGGATGCGTAAAGCAAGGCGCCTACAAAAGCGATTAGGGTTTAGGGTTTAGGGTTTAGGGTTTAGGGTTTAGGGGGATCCTTCACTGTACTATGGGGCCCTAAATATCGGCCAAGATTTTTGTTTATTCGTGTAGGGTTTAGGGTTTAGGGTACCGCAAATAGAACTTAAACATGATATTGGTGATTATGTATAGTCCCCGTAAGTAGACAGAAAATGCCTTTGGGATATATTATAAGAAGATCCCCATATACCCCAGCTACTCAAGGGGGACTATAGGTTGCTACAGTATGTTGGTTACTTCTGCCACTGCAGCGGTAACTTACACGTGCAGTTATGGTTAATTGATTACGTCGTAGTTCCACGTATGGTACGGTAACGGGATTGTGAGTTTTCCTCCTGAACCCTAAACCCTAGATCTTGAGAATTTCGCTTAAATGACGCCTGGAAGCCTCATCAGTCTGCTGCGAGTTCTTCTCTTGCTTCAAAATTTGAGAGCTAGGGATTTAGGGTCTTGGGGCTTGGGTTCACCTTAGGACCGCCTTAGGACGACCTTGCACCCTGTAATAATGACTGTAAGGGATAATAAGGATTAGATTAGGGTCCTCTTATNNTTATACCGCTGTTACAGGGTGGCGGCTCCTCCTAAGGTTTACCATGTAAGCCAACTTTCAGATGTGAACCGGATCCTAATAGCCAGTCAGATTCATTGGATGTACAAGTCCAACATATAACGCCCTAAATCAAAAGCAGCCTTACTACTCCGATGCCTCGAGAAAGTCTACATGTTCATTTTTCATTTTTATTTTTGTGGGGGGACGTTTGGGGAAGTTGCTAGCTGAGCCACCCTTCTTTTGCCTGGCATTCCTAAATGTGGAAATCTATTGGTTCTGCGCTACCTTGATTTGATGATGGGGCATAAAAGTTCACGGGAGCCCACACGGAGGCCCAGGTATCCCAGACCCCTGGGCGGATCTAGAAAGTAGATCCCCCTTAAGGGTTCCTAGGAATTACCCAATAGTAGTATAGGGTACCAAATTGGGGGTTCTACTTTCTAGATCCTCCCAGGGGTCTG